GATACAAACACGGTGGGAGTTAAAAAACACTCGAGAAGCAAGAGAAACACTCGCTACGCTCGTGTTCCTAAGCTTGCTTCTCTCGTGTTTTTGGAACTCCCACCGTGTTTATATCAGAGGACAGACACGCGCGCCGTTTTATATTTCTTAATTCATCATTCTTTGTTATAGATCCACACCTCTGTGTACTACATGGTACTGCAAATAAAAAACACGGGGATAAACCATTGTTTTTTCAGAAAACGAAACATTGAAATATGGTTAAACTGACAAAGAGGGAAAAAATCTTTATCCTTTCGTTCTTTTTTTCGGCAATGATATTTCCCATCCTATTGGTAATGAAACAAAATTTTCCAATTGAAATTTGTGTAAAAATCGTAAACCTTATCGACTATTTTCAAATTAATTCCAGTGCAAGCGGGCTTAGTCTCGAATCTAAGTGTAAGTTTATTGGCAATTGACAATGTTTTCTCTCTTGGGAACAAGGCTATTCCCGCCTGTAATGGAATTTTATTGTCAATTATTGGTTCATGTTTAAACTACGACTTTTTTGAAAAAGGCGGGACCTGTAACCCTGGATCGAGCGCGATTAAGTACAAATGATGAACGTGTCAACCAGAAAAAAAAACGGAACTAAAGGGGGAAATCCGATTTGCACTAACTAATAAACCTGAATTAAATAAGGAATAGGTTCTAGCGAATGCTTTTTGAGACATTTTATGTGTTTTCCCTACATTGCGAGTTGTGTCCAAAAACTCTCTAGAGACACCATAGTTGTTAAGTAGGAGTGCGAGTAGGAGTGCAACAAGCCCTCACCTGTGTTTTTTCGGTAACAGCGGTTCTCTTTCTTGATCCGCGGCCGGCTCGTTGAATGTTGTCTCGGCACTACGAACTAGTATTAACAATGTCAACAATGCAATACAAATATAATATTAAAGCAGCCAAATAATGTGCTTATTGAATACTAGTACATATTATTTACTTTTAGAGTCACTCTATAATCAACAGAAATGGGGATTTTCCTCTGTGACTAATGAGAAATTTGTCAAATAAAAGACAAAATAGTTTTCTTTGCCTGGGCTATAGTTAAATTGGTAGCTTAAGCGCAAATGTAGTAGCGGAGTAAATTAATAAATCAACACACTCCTGCCGAAAGCATTTATTACCTCTAACATGTTAAAACATGTGGGTGCTTTCACTTCTACCGGTCCTGATTAGACAATGCAACAAGTACTATTCGGCTACGAGACATTGTAACCGTGCTAACAAAGCTTACCTTTGCGTTTGGACGTAGTCTTAGGTCTAGGGGATCTACGACCTAGTAAGCTTGCGATACTTGTCGCACTGAAAAACGAACGAGCGGAGTGCCAGGATGCAGTGGGCGTTGTCTGGTTTGACTGTGTAGAAAAAATGTGTATCTATAAGAATAGCCTATTTACATTAAATGAACAAGCGACTGCGCTGTCTCCCCTAAAATAATCTTTGATGTCAAAACTAACGCCAGAAATCATCTTAAAATCAGGCATAGTGCATGTGATGTTTAGGATCTTGTTTGATGGCAAACAAAAATTTTGAATTCGTTCGCGACAACGGCTTTGATGGTTACCTGACTTTGAGGATTACTATTGGATGGACTATTGGATGTACTTTGAGGATTACTGCTAGATGTAGGTGTCTCCACGAAAGGATCAGGTGGATGATGAGGTTGATGATCAATGACTTTCATAACAATAAACCCAACAACAAATAAAACAATTATTACTGCTACTGGTATAACGATGTATACAGTCTCATCTTTCGGCTTGGTTGTTGGGTTGACAAAAGGCTGAGTTTTCGGTGCTGATCCGCCTAGCAAAAATAATTTACGATTAGGTCTTGTCCACCTGTATCGAGCTATTTTCGAGTTCACAAACCTTTCTTGTGCATTTGCCCGATTTGCCCGCGAATTCCGATCCCAACACTACCTCGAAATATTACAGATGTACTTCCTGACTGAGTGTGAGGGACCCATATCTGGCTCAGCGTGGTCATATCGGAACAAACACAGCCGAGGTCTGAATAAATTACAAAGAGGCAAATATTTCCCGTATAGTCCGAGACCTTATAAGGTGCATCCTCTTTCCTTTTTTCTATCGCTGCACGCTCAACTCCTGTACCTCTTTGATGTACAGGCACGGTTAGCTTCTAAGATGGCGCTGGGAGCTGTAAAATGTATTAATACAGTTTTTACAAACCTGTACATTGCGGTGGTGGATTTGGGCAAAAACACTTGTGCTTTAGGGTAAGGAGAACTGGAGGCTGTATATAGAAAAATACACAACACTGAATGTTTCATATTGGTACATATCAACTTTTATTAATGCTACATATCATCTTTTATTGATGCCAAATGCAACCTGGTACATAGAGCACGGCAAATTATGGACCTCACTTGCGAACCGTTAGTATATTTCATTTACTCAGTTTACTGCTGGAGAACCTCAGGCCCCAACTAGCAACAACACACTCAAGAAGCGATTAAAGCAGTTGTCTGAGGGAAGGGGGGTCCCAAATCAGGCCTTTGCCAATTTCTCTTCATTGCAAACAAGCCTATGATGAAATTACAGAAAATCGTTACCTTTGGAAAAATATTCATTTCAAAGTTGTTGCTGTAAATGGATTTATCCATATCACATTGAAAGCTWACAACGGCCTTTAAGCTTCCATCTCTGTATTTTAGTCTCCACACGAACCCAGTAGGACGTAGAATAACCTTGCTATCAATGTCCTTGTAGTATGCGACCGCAGTAGCAGTAGCTATTSCGCCATCTTTATCTAAAGTCTTTTTGCAAATCTAAACAACAAATTTCAAATTGCGAAGATATTCAATCTGGTATTAATTATAAAATGTAATCATAATGTTCTTGCAAGAGGACTCGTTTTAGTACTTAGTGCAGACGAGACTATGGAACTAATTGATCGTTTTCAACCATTCCGATGAGATTCAAAAGATAAAAGATCGGCTGCCATGTTGGAGGAAGGAACAATAGATACTAATGGAAAATCCTTTGTTAAAGTTCCTCCAAAATGGCAGGTGTGACGTAACCTGACAACGAAGAATACGGACCCTGTAAAAGAGAGTGGCTATCGTAACGCCTTAGTTCATGAGTTATGATATATCATTGCTACTCCTTTAAAGAGTATATATGAATGAGTAAAATCTGAAAATTTCAATTCTGTAACAATTTCAAAAGAATCAGTTGTTTGAAATTACAATGGTTTAAGTGACAGCCTCATTTAGTTTTGTTTTTGTACTATTAAATTCTCGTAGCTCTKCAAATATCATTAGCAAATGAAATTAAACCTCCATCAAAAAACTAGTTCAGATCTATATACTTGACTTCCTTGTGATGAAAACAGATTTTGAAAAAAAAAATTAACCGTTTAATGCTCTTTCCAGTTTCGAGCTCGTTTTTCATATCGTCTAAAGAAATGAAATTCCATGCACTTGGCCATTTGCGCTAAAAAAAACTGGGAAAATGCATCCTGCGAACGTGGACTGTAACATTCAATTCATATCAGGAAATAACACTTGCCAGCACGTCTCGAAGGTCGGTAGGATGTCGATGAGAACAGTCGACATCATGAGCGCAAAAACCAAATATAAATTCAACATTTGGAGATATGAATTTCCTAGAAACAAAAATAACATAGAAAGGTTAAATAACGCCTTGGTTGCATGTATCACTATAAGTATATATAATAACGCCTTGGTTGTATCACTATAAGTATATATTCAGATCTAGATAGTGATATCACTATCACTATTCAGATCTAGATAGTGATATCTTTAATGTAAACATGTTGTAATTCACACTAGTGCTAAAACATGTATATGAATAAACCTTCTTTATTATTATTATTATTATTATAGTATAAACATACTAATGGTCTATCACTCATACTGCGCTGTGATTGGCTGCTCTACTAATGGTCTAATTTGTGA